TAAGCGCCCCGTCGCGAGCACAATACTCAGTTTATCTGTTATGTAATGATCCTCTGAATGTTTACAAGGTGCTCATTTGTAACTATGCAGGGATTAGATTTGCGTCCTTGGATACAGTTGCTAACATGGATGAATATAAAGTCTTTGGTCACAAAATAAGGTCATCAGCTGATCACATACCTCGGAGTTGACCACATACCTAGCTCAGCCATGGACATTGATTTGACAAACAGGGATCCCAACAACATCAACGACCATATCCAGGTAATGAACTGTAAGACTACCTGTAACCTTACGAAGAGGTTTAATACGTAGAATGCAGTAAGCAATGAATATAGAAATGGTTTGAGTAATCAGGTGTACGACATACAAACTTAACTTGTAAGAAAAATAGCACTTTCTTGGAGGTATGACTATTACCACTGGTAATAGGAAAGCTAGAGCATTATCATCAATGAAAACACGCATTTACTGATCTGTGCGATTTGGTTTTATTGGTGACAACTCACGGTCAAGCACACTTCAACATAATTATAATAGTATATCATAATGACATATACGCTTCACAACTTATTGTAACCACAATTGAACTGATATTTGAATTGCATATATATGTAAGTACATGATGTATTAGACAATGAGGCGCATACCTGAATACAGTAAAATACGGTTATAACGAACGCTAAAGGACAACTAATTCTGTTCCTTATAACCGAAGTTCGTTTTTAGCATATATACAGCATATATACAGCATGTAGGCGGGACCCAAAGTTCGTTATATGCGCCAGTGCGTTATAAGCATGTTCGGTATAAACGTAGTTTACTGTATACAGTTTGCAATAAAAGACATTATCCTTACCCGGTTAATGAGAATGGGTTTCATTACCAAACACTTACATTCAAGAAGATCAGGCATAAGAGATGAATATTCATCATTGATTTATTTATTTACACTTTACTGGTTGCTTGCGTCAAGAGCAAGTTTGATTAAACAGATTTGTTTCGAATATAATATTTCATATTTAATATGAATATATATGCAACTGATTGGCAATGATCGTTTAAAAATATTGTTGTATAATTGATCTGGAATGTAATTTTACACCAAAGCAAAAAGAAATCAGAGATTTAATTTTTGGTAAATATTATTACATTTCTCACTACAGGTCACCTTCGAGGATATATTGGCTGAGCCAGAGGGCATCCACAGCTTGGACTGTGTGTGGGTCAACTCCTTCAGGTGTTTCAACTGCTGGAAGAGTTGCATCTACAACCTTCTCGCGTTTTTCTATGGAATCTGCATAGCTGCTCGATGGGGTTGTGAATTTGCCGTCGTCGCATTCGCACACGTCTGGATCGTCACGCCAATGTTCAAGTACATGGAACTAAACTGTGGCTGTATCAAGAAGTTCTACGGAATGTGCGTCCACTGTGTCTTGGACCCATGCTGTGAGGGTTGTGGCATGATATTCCATGCATTTCAGAAACAATAGACCATAGTGGCAACCTTGAAAACAACAATAACGTACATAAACGACCATCTCTGATATTTGAAAATGGTTCTGAGCTGGTATTTTCGACATGGTCGTATTGCCATTTGGAATATCCCTATGTTTTCCCTTACATTAAGTACACATAAAAACACTTTAGTTTCTGCTGTGAAGGCTGTGGCATACCATTCATGCATGTAAACAGCTGAAGATTTAAAAGAAAATTTTGATTACTGAATAAAATTAGTAATCATAATATCTGTATTTACAAATCTAAACAAATCTATATACATAAAGCTATCTGATGACATGGTACCTGGAAGAATAAAATATGAAAATAAATTCTAAAAAAATGAATGCTTTTTTCTGCTGTATTTGTTTTTTATATAAAACATTTCTCGAAGATGGTGATTTCCCAATAGCGCAATAACAAAGGTTAAAGTTTAAGTAAGTGAGTGAGGTGGATTAGATCTGCGTTGAACATTATTTCAATTATGTGAGTGAGTGAGTGAGTGAGTGAGTTTAGATCTGCGTTGAACATTATTTCACTTTTATCACTCCGATCCAACGTGACGCAGGTCTCAGTAACCAGTGCCTGGAAGCTTGCTTGGTGGCCATTTGTGCCTGATACACACAACGACTGTTTAGCAGGACAACCTTGTTTTGCCAGTCATTAAGCGAAATTTAGATAATGGTGGTTTATGTTCATGCAATACCAACAACACAGAATTCAATTCGCAATTACTATTCACAGAATTATGCATGATACAGTGGGTGGTAGGGTAGCCTGGTGGTAAAAGCACTGGCTCATCACGCCGAAGATCCGGGATCGTTTAACACGTGAAGCCATAGTTGATATCCCCTTATTGTGACATTTATGTGCTGTTTGTTTGTTGTTTAAAGCCGCACTCAGCAATATTCCAGCTTTATGACGTCGGTCTGTAAATAATCGAGTCTGAACCAGACAATCAAGTGATTGACATCATGACCATCGATCCACGCAACTGGGATAAGATGACATGCTTCAACCAAGTCTTCGAGCCTGACATCCCGATCCCGTTCGTCGCCTATTTCGACAAGCATAGTCGCCTTTCACGACCAGCATGGGTTGCTGAAGACCTTTTCCACTTCGGATTTTCGCGGGTCTGGTCACAAAAACCGGTATAAAGCCTAGTCAAAGACGTACTCACATACAGCAAATGCTCTATTTGTGTGTTGCTACATTTAGAAATTATCATACGAGCTTGTGTGTCACACTGTTTTTACTAAACGGTGTAATAAGTTCTTTTTTAACTATTATTTAAGAAACGACGAGTGGGAGTTGTTTATCGTACAATAAAACACCGTAGGGACAATAAACCATGAGGGGCGCAGCATTGTTTTATCGTTTATTTTTTGTATGTGATATCAACATTATGTACAGCCTCTTTAAGGAGGTTGATAAAATGTACAAGCTTTAAAAATATTTACCCAAATGTAAAAAATGATGACTCCCTGAATAGAATCCGACCTCGGAAATGTCGGGCAAGTCCGGGACGGTCGGGTAGCCTTGTGGTTAAAGCGTTCGCTCGTCACGCCGAAGACCCGGGTTCGATTCCCGACATGGGTACACTGTGTGAAGCCCATTTCTGGTGTCCCCCGCCGTGATATTGCTGGAATATTGCTAAAAGCGGCGTAAAACCATACTCACTCACTCACTCACACACTCGGACAAGTCCCTTTTACGAACAGGTGTTCTCACAATCGATTGTCATATGTCTCCCACGTTTGTATGCGATCATTCAGCCACTGCGTTTATCTGCGTAGCCCAGCTACATCTATGCGGAACAACGTAGTGGACACTTCCCTCTAAAAAAAAACCGTCATCCAATATATGACGTCATCAAGTTGCGAGCGCATATTTGAATCTTAGGAAATGACGTCATGATTGAACAATGATTTATCGTGAAATAAAGCAGGCATCTCCTTCATCAGAGAGAGAGAGAGAGAGAGAGAGAGAGAGAGAGAGAGAGAGAGAGAGAGAGAGAGAGAGAGAGAGCTGGGTTAAACCAAACTCACATGACGAGTTGGGTACATAACACGAAATGTGATAATATATACATGTACATGTACCACAGTCTCAAACATTGCTGTCAAAGTTCATTTAATCTTTATCTGTATCTACTTACATGCCTCTTGAAGATGTCACGTATCAATGTTCCTGGTGTGGTGGATGTGGTACCGTGGCTGCGTGAAGAGGGTGTACAGCGAAGGGTGTTGCTTAGACACCTGATGTGAAGTCTGTGATTTATATTCCAAATGTTTAAGAAAGAATATTGTTTCCCTAAAATATAAGTAGCATAGTCTTCAACCGCGGGAGACAACTGTGCCAAACAAACATACTATGTACCCATGTGAAGGATTGTTCTGCGAAATATCGAGTTTGCCCTCCTCGCAAAAGTTGTCCTTAAGTGCTGTTAGTTCCATGATGATAGTGCGGAGTAAACTTTAAACACGTGAATAAACACATTAAAGAATATTTCCTAATTTTAATTCAATTTATTAAATTACATTGTACACCTACAGTAACTATTATAGCTATGGAACCATGATTACTGTGTTGAAAGATGTAAATTTAGGCATAACAAACATCGCCTGGTAATATAACTCCTAAATGATCGTTACCCCCGTGGATCGTTGTTCACGATATCAACCACGGGTTTCTCGAGTCCACATTCGACTGTTTCGGGCCGCCGTGATATAGGCTGACCAATGATGTCCGTGGCGTTAAACACCATTCACCCTCACTGCAGCATAATGCGGCCATTTGGGATGAAAATCCCGTGAACAGTTCTATAGCATACAACTTTGATCTTTCTTATCAATGAGGATTTGTCACGGACCATATAAAATTCAATTGAAGACTGCCACAACCCGTCTGTCTGAGGGATTGCATTCAGATAGTATTTAGGACGCCTCCACATCAGGGAAACAGTAGATTTTTACGCCGACTTCGGCAGTAGACCAACAAGATCAATATCCATAGGCTTCACAAATTATACCCATGGAAACTCTTTCGGGCGTGATAAGACAAAGCTTCAACACTACGGCTACCCTGCCGCCCCTCACAGAACGTTAACCAGCTATACTAATGCTAATTAACTTATAACGTCAAAGACAGAGAATAAACAGTATTTGCCGAAACAGACTGCACAAAAGTGCTGAAAATAATATGAATGGAAAATTAGTGAAAATTTGTGAAAATTCAACGGATAAATAGCTGACCATATGGATATCGTGAAAGTGTGAGGTGTTTATGTCGACAAACACGTACATGTTAAAACCTGACAATTAGTGTGAAACCAGTCCCTTTGTATAATCCTGAATTCATTTGTGCCACTTCGTTAGCATAGAAAACAACCGGCTTGTTACGTAAGGGCTAATCCCAAATACCCTTAACCAACTCCACAAGAAGTTAATCACTAAGAGACGGAGTTTTTGTTTGTGGTAGCCATGGAGGCTGTTGATAAATAGGTCCGAACACAACAATGACCAGTTAATGGATATCTCAGTGCATTGGCTATTACCAGAACTTTCGAACAAACGATATGGACGATATATTAGACCTGGAAGATCGTGACCCCAATGGAATTAATAATCACATCACGGTAAGGCATTCTGGTATAACATCTCATGATAATATGCAAATTGACTTACTATCAAATGTTAACCGCCTGTGTGGGGGTAGTGGATAGGGCGTTTGCCAGGAGAAAGCGAGGTCGGTTGTTTTATCCCATGGCTAGATCAAGTTAAAGACGTTAAAGGATGGCACTTTGTGTTACCTCGCCCGGTACTCGGCATTGATGGGGTAAAACAAGAACTGGTGGGCTCGGAATCAGTATACTGTGTCCGAGTGGCGTATTTTTATACAGCGGCATGGTGTCTCATTGATTTTTCCCTTGACGTCACCATGAAATGCCATCACTACTCTTACTGCAAATGCGATTATCTATATACACAAAAAAGATATATTTGCTCTTTCCAGTTAGAGCCTTCATGTCTAAATTTGAATTGGTTGTCTGAGTGCTTCCTGATCACTGACTGGCATACGTGTTAGCATGAGGTGTCAGTGCCTAAATCAAACCCTTTTGAAAACATTCATAAATAATTTCACTGAATGTACAGTCAAAACATCAAACCCTTTGGCAACCGGGAACAGGAGTAAGCGTGTGATCTAGCGTTGTAGCTATATGACGTCATAGTAATGCAATACTACAATATGACGTCATTAAGTTGTATTTTGGACAAGAAATAGACCTTTTCTTCGATTCGGTGTTTTATCATTTATGACCACACGCTATTGCATTATACATGTACGTTGGAAGAGATCTCATAAAGGACTCACACACGTATATTAAATGGCTAGATCATTAAAGTTGCAGTCGAATTAACAAAGTGCACGTCGACATTTTCTTGCACCTTGATGCACCCTTTTATTTTGAGATAAGCTTTTGAAATTAAAAACTAAACACAAATTTAATGATACTGGATAATGGGAATATTGTTACAGAAATGATATTCTTTAAATCACTGCATCAAGACTTTTCCTCTGGAAGTGCCGAACATTTTTTCCCCCTTTGTTTTCTTCAAAGCATTTTTGGGAAAGCCTGTGTCAAAATACGTTTTCATACATTTTCTGGAACACTTTGTTAAAAAAGTAGCGAAAAAACTTAATCATAAGAAAATGTAGGATTCAGACTATATCATAAGCATGTGTTTATGAATCACTATCAAACAGTGAATATACCAGGTGTTCGCGGAAAGGGGAGCTTATCCTCCCCACTGGTGGCAATCCAAACAAAAGCAATGATCCCAGACGTATACACTTTATGTACGTCTTTATCATATATATTACCAAAACATATTATGAATAAGAGACGTATAAAAATGCCATTTCAGAAAACATTGATTAAGGTGAAGAATATGATCCTTAAATGTGTGGGAAAATATTCATAGAGTGCGATTTGATAAATACTTCTACACACATTCAACCCTACCTGATTCCAAGATATTCACTTTCACCGTGCTTTTTCAGGTCGCCTTCGAGGATATATTGGCTGAGCCAGAGGGCATCCACAGCTTGGACTGTGTGTGGGTCAACTCCTTCAGGTGTTTCAACTGCTGGAAGAGTTGCATCTACAACCTTCTCGCGTTTTTCTATGGAATCTGCATAGCTGCTCGATGGGGTTGTGAATTTGCCGTCGTCGCATTCGCACACGTCTGGATCGTCACGCCAATGTTCAAGTTCCTGGAACTAAACTGTGGCTGTATCAAGAAATTCTACGGGATGTGCGTCCACTGTGTCTTGGACCCCTGTTGTGAGGGTTGTGGCATGATATTCCACGCATTTCGGAAACAATAGACCATAGTGGCAACCTCGAAAACAACGACATCCTGCATACACCATCGTCTCTGATATTTGAATACGGTTATGAAATGGCATTTCTCGACATTGTCACTCTGATATTAGCAATATGTTGATCACACCATGTCATCTTGGACTACAGCAATGCAACACATATAAAGGACATAGCACAGTTCACTGGGATTTACACTTTTACCCTACATACATATTTTCTTATCAATATTTTTTATTGTTATCTGATTGCTACCATGTTTTTCTATATGTATGTTTAGTTTACCCAACCAAATGTCATCTTTCCGAGGCAGGGGAGTTAGCTGACTGTATAAGTATAATTTACACGTTTGCCTAACTAAGTCTGAATGTCCCGAAATCTGCACGGCAGTTTACGAACCGGATGTTGATTTCTTATCGCGATTTTGATTGGGCTTTGCAGAGACTCGTTAGTCCAGCCAAAATATACCTATATAATTACTGCCTAGTTCGGCAAGAGTGGAAACGGGATTTTTACAGTCAGTTAACTCCCTTGTCTCGGGGAGATGACCAAATATGAAAAAAACAATATTCCGCCATAAGCGAGTTTTGAATAGTAATTGTTGTCAGGAATTATTTTGTGGTAACTTCTGAAACTACTATTGTTTTGGAACAAGGTCTGAACTATTATTGGTGATGAATGCCGATCACGTCACTGGTTATTAGCAGACAGAAAGGCAAACAGATTGGTTTTATTAAAAAAAGACTTGAACAATCGGTCTCTCATCTTAATACAACCATACAGTTTATAGCAGTACCATTCTTACTTAGACTAAACACAATATGTTTTGGTTGTTCGTGTTTGTTGTTTAACCCTGCACTCAACAAAATCCAGCTTTATGACTGCGGTCTATAAATAATCTAAATGATGTAAATACATGATACGATGACATGTATCAACCATGTTAGCGAGTTTGACCACCCGATCCCGTTAGTCGCCTCTTACGACAAGCATGGGTTGCTGGAGACCAATTATGACCCGGAAACAGAATATCATCACTGGCAATGAATAAGACACCCCATCGCTACTATCGTTGTCATGTGTTGTTTCCTGACCCAAATGGTGTGACTTCGGACATCGCTTGGACATTTTGTGAGATAGACCTGAGAACTAGTGCAATAAACTTCGACATCTGTCAACGCTGTGTTGGTTTTCATGTCCGTGTGTATCCTTAGGGGAAGGCACTTTATTATTCCGGGGCCTGGAACTCTTATTAAAGACTGAATACTAGGGGCACGACAATTTGTTTCCAGCATGTTTATTAAACAATTGTTTTCTTGTAATCCCTCGACAAAAGGCTTTATCAGTATTTTCCGAGAGAAATTGTTTCTTAAATCCTTTTTTTAAATTAGTCATATATTTGTTGATATATGTTATTCACACCCGACTCAGTAGTTCAATATTATGCAGTATCGGGTACTATTAAGAAACATTTAGGAATATAATAAACTTGGAATACAGCTTATTCTTTGTTCAGTTAGTGAAAAGAAACAGTATGTGTGACAACTTGGTTTGCTTACAAATCGTGTTTCATGAGGTTCTTGTGCTGACCAAAATGTTATCACAAAATGTTTCGTTAATATCTTTGTTTGTTATTATGCCATAATAGATCATGATTAACAATTATACTTTCATCCACGTTTGACATCACTACCAAACATTACGCCTCAGGTTACCCAACTGTCCCCAGTACCCACAAACAATGTAAACTGTGTGTTCCCGTTCTTTCTTCACATAATGAGACACACCGCACAATTTGTGCTACCAAAAATCCACTCTTCGCGGGAATCACAACCATCCACACTTTATGTCCACAGATGTCTTGCTTGAAAGGCATGACTTTTTTAAAAAGTTTTTGAAAATCAATAAATCGGTTTTTGAATAACAATGCATATTGAAGATAATAACAAATGCAAAATGCACTGCCACATACACAATTTCTCGTTGTTTCTGCCTTCTGATAGGTGTTTGGGGAAGCGCATGTAAAATGATCGTTTCTAACATAGCTTTCAAATTCCGTGCAGCAGTGAATTCTTTTGATTTGTTTCTTGTTTGTTTGTTGTTTAACGTCGCACTCAGCAATAGTCCATCTGAGTGCGGCTGTCTGTAAATAATCGAGTCTGGACCAGAAAATCCAGTGATTGACACCATGAGCATCTTTCCACGCAATTGGGATTCGATAACATGCATCAACGAAGTCAGCGAGCGTGACCACCCGATCCCGTAAGTCGCCTCTTACGACAAGCATAGTTGGCTTTTACGGCAAGCATGGGTTGCTGAAGACATGTTCTACCCCGGATCTTAAATCCGGTATCGCACCCCATAAGTGAAATATCATTATTGAAATGCCAAATACGGAAAGCTGAAATGTCAATCACAATATATGCTCATGATCACTAGATTGTCTGGTCCAGACTCCAGATTATTTACAGACCGCAGTCATAACGCTGGAATATTGCTGAGTGCGGGTTTAAACAACAAACAAACACAGTGAAACTGAGGTGTCACAATACTGAATGTTGGTAACGTGTGATCCCCAAGACTCTTCACAACTGGCTAGATACGTCTCGGCTTCTGAAGATAGCTCTTGGAAAACGGAGTCACTCAAACACCTCGTCACGGTAACGGATACCAGTGACCATACCGTCAAGGCGAATGGAGTCAGTCCTGTTGTTGATCCCAACAGCATCACACACCCCACACCAACTGGTTTGATGACATGTGTCATTCATGGACCCATCGACAAACGCGAGCCGACCATCTGAATGGTCCAGAAGGAACCTAGCTGTACTCTTGCTGAACATGGCACGATGCCAATGACGTAATTCTCGGACGCCACACCGCCATACCCTCTCTAAACGTAAACGTCTGTGCGCATTGGCCATTCTGATGCCGACCGCTTGACGACGACTCTTGAGGCCCGCCGATTTCAGTCGATCTCGGACCGTGCGGTCACCATGTCTGATGTTGACGATGCACATGTGCAGTTTTTCTATGTACCACGTCGTTGACACATGATTTACACGCGCATGTGAGTCTCCTTGTGCCTTTGGTCGCACTAACTGCAGTGGTGTGTTTGCAATTAGCCGTCGATAGTGGGGATGTTCCTATATTCATGACATCATGAAATATGAGTTCCCTTATTTTTTCCATCCGTATTATATTTACCTTGATGATAATTTGTACCTAAAGTATTGTTGTGCATTAAGAGTGGACAGCAAAGTCCGTCATTCTGACCAGTATAAACCAGAGGCCATTGAAGACTGTTCTCTTTTCCCCTTTTCTGTACGGGCCCCTCCTTTAGCTGCTGCTAATTCCACCATCTCTCCTCTGTCCTTGAACAGACAAAAGATGAGCGGCGTCAGTATAATCGTAGCCCCCAGTGCTGATCGATTTTAGAACAGCAGAAGACAAACGATGACATTAGCTGCAGCTTGTATAGGAAACAGGTATTCTGCAGAAATTCCCTGGAAAGCAGGTTATATTAATGGAAAATATGCCATTGTCATGGCAACAGGATACAAATAGGTCACCATAGCTTAATAAATTGTCTTCATACAATAATTAAATCTCATGTAATTACATATAAAAAATAAGGAAGATATCGAGAAAGTGAATGCGTGAGTGAGCAAGTTTGGTTTAATGCCGCTTTGAAAAACTGTAATAAAAGTTATATCACGGCGTGTCAAGTGAATGTGGAAAACCCCCCGAAGTGATGCAGGTCTCAGACGTGTATCACTTTGTTGAAACCTGTCAGCACCCAGCAGGAACATCAATGTTGAAACCTGTCAGCATCCCACATCAATGTTGAAACCTGTCAGCATCCCAGCAGGCACATCAACGATGAAACCTGTCAGCATCCCAGCAGGCACATCAATATTGAAACCTGTCAGCACCCGAGCAGGCGCAACAATGTTGAAACCTGTCAGCATCCCAGCAGGCACATCAATGTTGAAACCTGTCAGCATCCCAGCAGGCACATCAATGTTGAAACCTGTCAGCATCCCAGCAGTCACATCAATGTTGAAACCTGTCAGCATCCCAGCAGTCACATAAATGTTGAAACCTGTCAGCACCCCAGCAGGCACAACAATGTTGAAACCTGTCAGCATCCCAGCAGGCACAACAATGTTGAAACCTGTCAGCATCCCAGTAGTCACATCAATGTTGAAACATGTCAGCATCCCAGCAGTCACATAAATGTTGAAACCTGTCAGCACCCCAGCAGGCACAACAATGTTGAAACCTGTCAGCATCCCAGTAGTCACACCAATGTTGAAACTTCACAGCACCCAGCAGGCACATCAATGTTGAAACCTGTCAGCATCCCAGCAGGCACAACAATGTTGAAACCTGTCAGCATCCCAGTAGTCACACCAGTGTTGAAACCTGTCAGCATCCCAGTAGTCACATCAATGTTGAAACCTGTCAATATCCCAGCAGGGACACCAATTTGAAACCTGTCAGCACCCAGCAGGCACAACAATGTTGAAACCTGTCAGCATCCCAGCAGGCACACCAATGTTGAAACCTGTCAACATACCAGCAGGCACAACAATGTTGAAACCTGTCAGGATCTCACATCAATGTTGAAACCTGTCAGCATCCCACATCAATGTGGAAAGCTGTCAGCATCCCAGCAGTCACATCAATGTTGAAACCTGTCAGCATCCCAGCAGTCACATCAATGTTGAAACCTGTCAGCATGTCACATCAATGTTCAAACCTGTCAGCATCCCACATCAATGTTGAATCATGCCAGCATCCCAGTAGTCACATCAATGTTGAATCATGTCAACATCCCAGCAGTCACAACAATGTTGAAACCTGTCAGCATCCCAGCAGTCACATATGTTGAAACCTGTCAGCATCCCAGCAGTCACATCAATGTTGAATCATGTCAGCATCCCAGTAGTCACAACAATGTTGAAACCTGTCAGCATCCCAGCAGTCACATCAATGTTGAAACCTGTCAGCATCCCAGCAGTCACATCAATGTTGAAACCTGTCAGCATCCCACATCAATGTTGAAACATGTCAGCATCCCAACAGGCCACATCAATATTGAAACCTGTCAGGATCTCACATCAATGTTGAAACCTGTCAGCATCCCACATCAATGTGGAAAGCTGTCAGCATCCCAGCAGTCACATCAATGTTGAAACCTGTCAGCATCCCAGCAGTCACATCAATGTTGGAACCTGTCAGCATCCCAGCAGCACAATGTTAAATCAGTGTTGAATAAATGTCTTTGAAATTGCATTGATTTTTGAATGTTGAAATGATGTCAAAATGTCCACGTTGAATCAACATCAATAATGAAACAACGTAGAAATTTCGTTGGATATTGGTAAGGTTTTTTGTTGGGTATTGGTTGGTCTCTCTAGCACCATATAATCAGGTCAAATGGACCCTCAACTCTGTTACAAACCAAACAAATTTACGTTAATATAACTTATCGTCATTTTGTTCTTAATCTCGATTTTCTTTGTTGAAAAGGGATTAGCGTGCACACACAGTGCGCTTGTCTGTTTTATTCGTCATTACTCAGCCGTTCCATGGTGATATTATCCGAGGTTATAATGCCTAAATACGCGACGGAAATGTTCGGGAATTCTTTTTCTACATTATTAATTCCGGTGGTTCAGAAAAGTATTGATTAATATACATTATATGAACATTAATTATAATCTTTAAACAAAATGTGTCTATACATGAAGTACATTACCGTTAGGTATAAAACATTGAGTCTAGAGTCTATAAATATATTGTTTTATGTTACTTGTACTTGAATTATATATTCAATTGCACAGTCGTGAACAAACAGAACCATATGTTGGTATCTTAAAGCCATCTAAACAAATATCGTCCTACACATGGGACTTATGTTAACTCGTGCTATATATAGTATCGTTTCCCTAATTTCCCTGTGTTACCACAAAACAATCGTCTACATGTACTACTTGTAGTGTGAATTGTGTTACAGAAACGTTTTAATGTGCCGATTGTACAGAAGACCGTATATCACACTGGATGAAACTACAGACATGTAGAGATGAATATACTAATAGTTATTCTGATATGCATGTTTGTTCATTAATTACTCTCGTAAAGAAACATTTGATTGAAATCCGTCGCA